TTCCACTCTTACTGAATGCCTCCTCAAAAAAACAACTTGTTCGCTAATAATAAGTTGCCAGCACGTATTAAACTTGGATGTTGTTAATAGCAGCCGTTGGACTGAGCCATTCGACTGGCTGTCTGATGTAGAATTATCAAGAGTGTGTGCACATGAGATCAGTATCACGCATTTTTAGCATTCACTTCGATGATTGCGACAGATCTTTGTGAGTGAACGTTCAATCGTGTCGTTAGCAAAAGATTAACACGGTACGTAGATCTGTCTATCTATCAATCTCTAAGTAGTGCTGATTCTCGTGATACAGCTAAACGCTAACACAGAATGGGCGTGTTCAAGCGCAGTAGGATTTTAGGAACATAGAACAAGTTGACAAAGTTTAGTCGTTTTACGAGACTGAAGATGATTAAGTTGGTAAGGAGGAGAAAAGACACTGAAAGAAACTGAAAAGATAAACTGAAAACGTCGGGGTGATAATTGTGATGGGATTGAGTGAAATAAAAATGTTAAACAACGATATTTTGCGTTGAAATTTGACGATTGCTGTTGGACTGCTGAAAGTGAATGGTGTTAGTGGAGAGTTTTTGGTGTGTTTATTCCAGCGAGTAAGTTTTGCTGCGCTAAGTAGTTGACGTGTAGTAGAAGATAAACGCATAAATGTGATGATAAACGATGTTTTGACGAGCGGATATGCGCTAAGAGCTTTGAGAACGACGTTCGGTGGTTTCACTGGAGACAAGGACGAAGCGAAGAGGTTTTTCGGGAATGAAGTAAGAGGCGGTGGCAGCAAGTTTGTAAGTGGACGAGTGCTGTTGTTGCTGCTGCTACTACTACTAGTGCTGCTGGTAGCAGTGGTCGTGAGCTAAGTTGCTAACGACTCAAATTCACTTCATCAACACTGTTTTTGATGTGGTGCCATTGTTGAATCAACGCAAGAATCAACACTTTTTTTTCCAATATCACGGCACTGTTTCGACGAAGTTATTGTTTTGTTTCACCGATTGTAATTATCACATTTCTATTTTTTGTTGACTAATACCATCATCGACAACAACAACGACAACAGAAACAATTGCACTTAGTGGTTCATCAATCATATCTCGTACATAAATCATTTCAATGAACAAGTGATTAATTGCACCCGAACATCGTTCAGCTATCATTTGCTCTACCTCTGCTTCTGTATTCCTTATTTTGATTGAAAATAATTAGCCTATAAGGGTAATCTTGCAAGTGAATTCATCTGATCCATCGTATGCGCATCTGAATCCACTTATCCACTTTATGAGGATTATCCGCTTCGTTTCACCTCCATCGTATTGATCCTGTATCAATTCCACCAAACTACCTCACAACTTTTGTTAAAACCCCACTCAGACGTGTCATTTGTACGTATTATTTTATCTGCTGCGACTGGCTACAGTACTATTTGTTCGTTTCATCAACCTTGATCATCCCAATCATTAATAGCAGAGGATGACCCAAATCGGTTTCTATACAGCCAATCCGCTGGCATGTACAGCAGCGCATGGATATCCATCGCTAGCATCCTACCATCACTTAATGGACTCGCACACAGTTTCATATACAAGTTCGTTAATGGGTTACGCCTAAAAAAACATTTTACCGTTCCAAATATGGCCATAAGTCGCCATAAATGTCTGCATGCTGAGTGCTATGTGCTCGTAGAATTATATCCTCAGAGTGATGTTTTATCTGCACTTATCGTTAGGATTTGATTCCAGTCAGTATGTAATGCTGAGCTCTTGAAGAAATTCATTGAGGTGGGAGAATTTGGAGTAATCATACCCTGATCTATTAAAAATGTTTGAGTTCGTTCACATTTCACCGTTTTTCACCTCATTTAAGAAACCTAAATGATATTTCACGATCAAATACTGGAAGTAGCAGTTGCACATAGGCAAAAACCACTGAAACTGCTCAAATTTATTGTTCTTAAGGCACAGTGATCAAGAAAATCGACTGAGAATAACTTATTTTGTGAATAATTTCAGAACGAGTACCGAACTGTCAAAAATGTGGTCAACATGGTCGTAAATCAAGACTGAAGGGTCACAAGCGTATTTGTCCGTATCGAGATTGTAATTGTGCAAAGGTTAGCATTTTGTTGGTTGTTTGCTATCCTCTTCAAGTATCTTCAATTGATAATTTGTTGAATGCACGGATCTATATTTTGAGCTCTTCGTAATAACTAACAAAGATTGAGGGAGTACTTTTTCAACAATTTGCACTAATCATTCTCAGCTTGTTCAGATTGCTTATTGAATTTATTGCTTCATTCGAGAACGATCAATTTGCTAACCACAAAAACTTATCTCTCCTTTCATCGTGTCCTGTTCTTTCCCATCTCTTATCGCCTTCATCAATCCACTACAAACTTCGTTTTTTTTTTGTTGTTCTAATCTCCTTCATATTGCTCTCAAGTATTTCTATCTTCAGTCAGCAGCTTCAAATTGGCTTCTCCCGTCAATATGTACTAGGTAAACATTCGTTTTAGAGGATTTACGCAAACTGCGCGAAATTATTTCCGTTCTGATGCAAAATATTTGCTTGAAAATTGAACAACTGCTGGAAATGAATCGCAAAATTGTACTTTTCCAAGCGGTAATTGAGGTGTTTAGCGTGAACACGTTAGTTGGTTGGGTTGGCTTGTACAGCCAACAATTTACTGCTTTTCTTATGCTAATTACTTGATGTGACCTGTGTGGAAAGCACTGGAACCAATGTTCCAGTTGAAATTCAGTATGAGGCGGCTTGTTGATTGCCTATTTTAGATGAAAGAAATGGCT